AGCATCCTTATTTCCAGAGAACTAACTCATCATCACTTAATGACAACCTTCCGGGAGCACAGGCGCAGTGAGTGGGTAATTCTGCATCCTCCAGGCTTGAAGGCTTTCTCAACAGGGAGCCGTTGGGATCTGTTGAGCTACTCTAAAATCCATGTTTTAGATAAATTGTTGTGTGTGTGTGCGGGCAGGAAAAGGGGAATGGTTTGGCTGGAGGGTGGTTGTCTTTCGACGCCTGCAAGAGCAGAGCCCGTGGAATGGTGTGGGGTTGAAACCGAGTTTTGCTGTCTTCTGCTCACCGAATATTAATTAGTGTTGGATCAGACCATGGATGTTAGGAACAGGATGAGCAATGAGCCATTGTACTCCTTTTAAGCCTTAAGTCTCTTTTGTTTGAAGGATCTTGATGCAGAAAAGCAGAGTGAGTGTATAGGTGACAACAAGCCTGCAGAGATGTTGTGTGTTGCCTACAGCCACGTCCTTGGATAGAAACAGGGGGGTGAGCCCTGAGACTGGGGGGGGGGGCTTGGGATATTCGGGTGGCTGGAGGGTCTGCTGTGCAGGGCACAACAGGTTCATAAGGTGCCCCTGTAGCCGTTTGCTTTGATGTTTGGTGTTCAGAGATGCTGATACCTTTTCAGAAGAGTTGTGCGGGGCTCCCTCTTCATCATGGAAGCACTGATGTTCCCGGTAGTGCTGTGGGATACCAAGAGGTCCAGGTCCTCTTCTGGGGGCTGATCTGGTGCAGGTGAAGGGGGGTGCTGTCGGTGGGAAGGTCAACCTGCGGTGCAGGTCTTCTCGAGTGGGAGAAGCCTATTTTTCTTCTCCCCAGAGGCTGCTCTGGGTGTGTTCAATTACCTTTTCTTCAGATTGCTTCCTGTTGCTAAAGTCTTCTTGTCTGGAGTAGGATGTTCTTAAACTTAAAAATGCTTAAATATAAATACATACTTGAACTCTTTTCTGATGAGATTTTTACTCTGAAATCTCTATGTGGGATCATATCTAAGTTTTGCTGTGATTTGCTTATTTCCGTAGCGTTAAACGCCTTCTCTGCACTAGACTTGTGAAGAGCCTGCCTTTTACAGGCTGTCTGGCACCAAACCCTCATCCTCTACCAAAAAAATCCCCAAATCCAGCACTTACAAGTGTGGCAGCTCAGAGCAGGAGGTGAGCAGCACTGCTTGGGTGCTCCTACAAGAGCAGAGCATCCTCTGCCGGCATCCAGGGAGCTCCCGAGGCACCTGCAGGCTCTGCAGAATTGCCTTGCGGAATAGCGATGGGAGAAAATTTAATTAAAAAAACAAAACAAACAAAAAACCAAACCAACCTGCTTGTGGTTTGGCTGCGGGCAGTGCTTTCTCCAAATAATGAGTTGAAGAGCAGCAGAGCGGGAACCGCGCTCTTTGTGTCGGCTCTGCTGTGGGCTGGGTTGGAAACAAAATGCTACTTAGCAAACATCTCCGTGCGGCAAAGGTGCTTTTTGTTTTTTGGGTTTTTTTTTAAATAATACGGCCTCTCGGTTATGTTGCTTGCTTACAAATCTCTTTGCTTTCAGTCAAGAGCTTAGGGGAAACCATTTCTGAACATAAAACTTCAAGGGGAGGGAACCAGCTGTGAGCCCACGCAGCGGCCGAGCGCGCTTGGGTCTTGCAGCAAGATGTTTGCCCGCACCCAGTGAGTTACTGGGGCTGGCGGCCACTATGAAATGTTTATTGGGAAGGGGCGGGAAGGGAAGGGCTCCTACGTGCCCATCTCCGCATCCCCAGCCCTGCCGAGGGGTTCTGGCCGAGCTGCAAGGTGGTTCCTGGGGGATGGAGGAAAGACGCGGAGATGTTTGCTCATCGCCAGCGAGACCCACCTTCCTGCACCAGGAAAGGTCTGCGACTGCGGCTTTGAAATCCAAACAAGTAAACGTTTCTTGTTCCAGAAAGGTTGGTATTTAAAGAGAGAAAACTACTTCCAGAGGAAATGTTTGTTTGTGGACTGTCCCTCTTGTTTACTGCGGCTGATAAGAGCTGCTCTTCAGCTGTGCCCTCCCTGCAGTCGTCATTTCAAGAGCCTCAATTCTTTTTTATTTTCAAGAGCAGTGCGCTTCCAGTGTGTGTTTAGATAATGATTCTTACAAATGTATTTATTCAAAACAAACACAGTAGGAAGCAACTACAAAGCAGACTGCTTTGGCAGCTGGTGCAAAAGGGAGCTCGCTATTTTCATGGGTTCGTGGTGGGACAGTCTTGCAACGCGTCCATCCCACTCTGTGCATGCCAGGGCATCAGGAGCTTTGCCCTGGGAGTTGGCCATGGCGTCCTGCCATGCCAGGCCATGCATGTCCTGCATCGTGGGCTTGGGGTGATGTGCATTTGGCTGAACGTAGCTTGTTGCCCGCTGCACCGCCTTGTAGCATCTCTAGGAGTTTTTGGAGAGCTGTTGATAACGTGAATTGGCTGCGTGGTGGCTGGGGTGACTCTGCAGACGGAGCCGTGTGTTGCTAATGGGGCCAGCAGCATCCACGCGCGCTAGCAAGGGATCACAGGAGGAACAGAAACAGCAGCAAGAGCTGCAGGAGCAAGTCACCGGCTGCTGCATCCGCAAACCGATCGCAGCCCTGTGCCCCCCCATGAGTGCGCAGCCCCTTCAAAACCTCTCCTGAACCGAACTGCAGATGTTTCTGGTTTAGGGGAGAAGGAAATTCAGCGTTGCAGATTGTTTTTTCCTTTCTCTCCGAAGCGAGTGGCAGGCGCGAAGCTGTCCCCTCCTCGAGGGTGGTGGTGGGAGCCAGCGGGATGCTGCGTGAATCCGTCGTAGCCTTTCATTTAACTTGGATTTTACAGCTTTCTCACAGAGCCTGTTCCGTGATAATCTTGCAAAAACAAACTCCTGCGAGACTGCTGGGGAAACGAGGTGGCATAATGCCAACTCAACAGCATTTTGGAGAATTACCCTTGCGTGCTCTCGCTGCCTTGGTTGGGCTATGCCAAGCTGTCTGGTCTTCTCCTGTGCAAAGCACCGGAGGAGGAGAACCGATGCAGTGTGGTTTTCTGCGCATCTGCGTCTCCGTCTAGCTCGGAGCCTTGACGCATCTGGGTTTTGGCACCATCTTTGCCTTGCGATGTCCCTGGTGCATCAGGTGCCCGCGGATGCCCGTGCAGGCTGTCTGCTCTCAGATGCCTGTTTTCTCAGTGCAGGTAGAAAGCTGCTGTTTCAGTGGCCTCCACCTCTCCGTTGGGTTTGGAGAAACCCAGAGCAGCTCACTGAGGGGGGAGATGGTCTGTAGGGCATGAGGCTTTAAACCTGGCTTCTGCAGGAGACCAGGCTAAAATGGGCCCTGCAGCTCATCCCCAAAGCTGGCTGGTGGGGCTAAGTCCAAGTGAAGAGGTTTCAAAGAGTTCAGAGAGCCTGTCCCAAATCTGATGCAGCTCCAGATAACTCCGATGGGAGCACAGACCTTGCGGGTCACCATCCCTGCTTTTACAAAAAACCTCCCTGCAAAAAAAAACCCAAAAACTAAAACTGAAAACAAAACAAACCTTGTAAGCCCAGGAAATTTGCATTGCTGGGGAAACAAATTCAGTGAAGTTCTCTGATGCTGCTTTGTTTTAACCTCAGCTTTAAGAATAATAGTAAGCTTTTGCATTAAATGCAGGGGAAGAGTACTTTGGAAAGCTAGGAGGGCTTTTCTCTTTCAAGCACTCTGGTTATTTTGGCAATCAGGATGAGTTAAATAAAAATTGTTGAATGCAATTAATATGTAGGAGGGTGACATCTTGAAATGTTTCTTAATTTTAAGTATGTGTTTTGAACAAATGTTTGTATGCCGAGGCTTGGGCTGGTGGGATTGAAAGGCATATTGGATTATATGCTATTTGCTGTGTGCAAGCAGTGGCAATTTATTGCTGCAGATACACGTGATGCAACGTGCAAAGATTAGTTCTATCCTCTCTAAAGCATGATTATTTTGGGTCCTCTTTATACCTTAAATAGATATTCTTCTCACGTGATTTCCACCTTTTTGTGTCAACAGCCCAGGCTAAAGTTGAAATAAACGCTGCATCAGCTTAATAGCAGAGGCTCTGAAGAAATCTGCTCTCTGGTATGGGCGTTGTTTGGAAGCCTTTTCCTTTTACATTTTTCCAATGTGCAATGCAAAGATCTCGTGAATCCTGAAGCCTGCTCTGTTTCACTGGACCTTTCTTGTGCAGATCAATGTAGTTGATCAACACTGATGAGTCCCATCTGGAGCAGAGCATCAGTGTGGTTCATCACGTTTAAATATCCCCTTTTTTTAGTTCATGGTGAGGATCTGTGGCCTCTTCCAGGGACATTTAGAAGTGAGGAGCTGTTAAAATTTGTTTTGGCCATGCAATTTTTGACTCTCAAGCAGCAGATTTCTCCCTCCAGTTGCAGTTGCGGAGAAGGATGCTGTAACACGGCAAGCCATCGCAGGCCGTCTGGGGTTTTGGCATGGCGTGGTAGGAGGAAGGTTGCCTGGTCATGTGTGTGTTCTCATATGGTTGGACTTGATGCTCTTTTAAAGGTCTTTTCCAACCTAAATGATTCTATGATTCTCATCTGCTCCGCTCCCACAGCCAGTGCTGCCGGAGGGGAACAGGGACTTGGAGGAAAAGAGGACCTCAGGACAGCCCTGTGGGGCAAGACCTCCTGCCATCTCCTCCCCTTTCCCTAATCTTGTTTCCGTTTTTTAATCATTTGCTCTTGTCAGGCTGCAGACCTGGTGCTAGGGCATTCAGCAGTTTGGAGTCGGCGTCATCCAAATGGTGGAAGATGCATGGGCAAATGTCGATGGAGATGTTTCTATCAAAGCAAACCGTAGCAAAATGAATGATTTGTTTGCTTTTAGTGACTTTGTAGGCTGGAGTCGGCAGGACACGGTGCTGTGGCTGGGGAACGTGGTGTGTCTGTGCTTGTGGCTTGGTTTGAATAGCTTAATGCAAACTTAAATATTGGAAAGCTCTTGATTGAGACCTTTCACACCTCTCTTACAGCATCATCATGACAACAGAGAAGAGTCTAGCGGCGGATGCTGACAATTCAGAGCAGCAGCAAGCCAAGGAGGAGGAAGGAGCTGCTGAAACACAAAAACAAGAGGCTTCCCTAGAAGAAGGGGCTCAGCAGACATCGGAGGGACAGCCTGCAGCAGGGCAGAAGCAGAAGGCCTCCAACGGCGATACGCCCACGCACGAGGAGCAGAGCAAGAAGGAGCGCCGCACCTCCGAGGGCCGGGGTCTCTCCCGCCTCTTCTCATCCTTTCTCAGGAGGCCCAAGTCTCAAGTGTCTGAAGAGGACAAAGACACTGATGCTCCTAAAGAGGTGGGAGGTGACCAGAAAGACCTGGGATTAGGAGCCAGCCCTGATGAAGACATCCTGGTGAAAGCCCCAATTGCAGCTCCTGAGCCTGAGCTCAAAACCGATCCATCACTAGATCTCCATTCCCTAAGCAGTGCAGAAACACAGGTAAAACACCCTGCTCCACGTGGCATGCTCCCTTCTGTTCTTGAAAACATGTCTTTTCAGCCAAAACTATAAAAACTTCATATCCTAGGATGGTAAGCTTGATCAGGAAAACTCATGAGATGCTAAAAAGGCTCTTGTCAGCTCCCTGTGTTGCATCTCTTACTTCCCACTCTTGCATTCCTGTATCATGCTGTCCTGCAAGGTACCTGCTCCTGAAATTGTGCTCACACTTCACAGCATAAATTAAAACACCCCGTGCTGACTCTTTACTCTGCTGAGGCGTGGGAAGTCACATCAGAACTAGGGTTCAAATTCATAATTCACGACGGAGCGGTTGCTCGTCGGGGTGTCCTTGGTGTGTGCAGAATAAAGGCAGGTCAGTGGTGTGAGGTGGGGATTGCAAGAGGACGTGGATTTGGGAGAGGGTTTCTTCAACTTCAAGGAGCACAAGCGTGGCATTTCAGGACTTGGTCATCTGTTCAGTCCGGACTGGTGCTGAGCCTGCCAAATACAAATATTTTCTGCTTATGCATCATGTAGACAGGGATTTCTGCACAGCACGTGGGCTGAACCCAGCTCCTAGTAGCCGTCTGATGTCTACTCTTTACAGCCAGAGTAATTTTTCATGCAAAATTTAAAGTTTTTAAAGCATGGTAGAAACTGAGGCAGAGACACCCACAGGGAGACATTCACAAAGCTGCAGGGGGTTATTGATTTGAGGGCGTTGGATGTCCTCTCTTACTCCTTGGGTAATTGCAGCTCTGCCGTTACTAGTGCGGCTGCCCGGAGTTAGAGAAAGGCGGGTGCCCCTTCTCCGGAGATGGGGATTTCTTACAACCCAACCAACCTGTGTGTACTGCTGGAGTCATAGCGCATTCGTGGTAAAATCTGGATTACTTCCCCCCTGCCTTAGGTTTTGAATGGGCTCCAGAGAGGTGTTACATATCTGCAAACTCTGACTTCTGGAGCAGTACTTTACAAGTTAGAGCATTGCCAACCGTAGGCAGTAATTGTAAATCCCCCTCCTTAAACTTACAAAGTTGTAGACAAGGTAGTAGGTAACACCTTTTTCTTTCTTTTCCCAAATTTCTGAGCCTGTGAAAACCATGGGATGATCTCTGCTCGTGTTTTGTACCTCTGAGGGTTGGGATTAGCAGAATGGGGAGGAGCTGGAAATTTTCAGGCAGTTTCAGCCCAGAAATTGTGTCTTCAAGAGGAAATGCATGAATTCTTTCTCTGTTTAACTTTGATTTGCTGCTTCTGAGCACATGTGAGTGTGCACCCACAGCCTTCCTTCACCATGGGCTGTTCGTTTCAGACGAAGCATTTGTGCCTTTTTTTTTTTTTTTTAGTTCTTAATTTAGATCAACGTCAGTGGCTTTTTGAACTGTGACACTCGGCAGATATTTCTGCTGTGAAAGCATTTGCGAGGTGCTGCCTGTTTGATAAATGCTGACCAACAGGCATTACGAGCTTTGACTGATTCCCTGCCTCCGATTGTCCTGGCCCTGCTGGAACAGAAGTCAGCAGCTTGTGGACATTATTTAGTTTTTAAATACCTCCGTGCAGTTGTGCCTGGGTGTGATTTCATGAGATGTGATGGGCTGAAAAGACAGGGTTTTGCTCTTCCTCTGCCGTGGCTGTGTGCTCCTGCTGCATTGAGCCACTTCCAGCACTTGTCAGAGCCTGCCGTGAACTCGTTTAACCTGCTGAAATGGCAATGGAAAAAAAACCCCAGCTTCCTTCCTCCTCCTGTCCCCAAATTGCATCTCTTTCTGCTATTTTAGTGAATTAAACTGGCTCGCAAAGTGCTTCAGTAGGCAAAGGCAGAGTGGTATGAAGGCTGCCTTCCCTTTTTGGTGGCAGAGAGCTGCTCGGTCAGCTCAGACGGCCGTGAAATCTCAGCACTGACCCCCGCTTTTAATGCCACTGCTGCCATACCGAGTGCTCCAGTGCACTGGAGCAAAGCCCAGGGTGGCAGTAGGAGTGTGGGGGCATGTGCGGTGGGTGCACTGGGTGTCTTGCCTAGGAGGAGAAAAACTTCCTGGTCCAAAAGGTGCTGTTGTTAAGACCATGAAGATGTGCATGATGTAATCTGCCCTGATTTCTCTAATCAACCCTTTTTCCTTTTTTATTACATACTTTATTAAATGAAGACTTGAGAATGACTTGAAGGGCTTTAAAAATTAGTATCATTACCTTGCTCATCCAAGCTGCTGCTCCAGGTCGTGGGTTACACAGTTAAGTCAGATAACTAATTCTGGGGTGAGATCCCAGCCCTGCAGTGCACCTATGCAATGCTTGTTTCATGTGATGTTTTTTTTTCGCTTGACACGTCTAAATTGCAACTTGGGTGATGTGGGGGTTTCAGCCTGCGCAGGAGGAGAGGAGGGACGACGACGAGCCGGACAGCAGAGACCTTGGGGGCAAGGAAGGGGGGGAAGTGAAGGAAGAGTGCGCCAAGCCAGAGCCGAAACAAGAGACTCCGGAGACCAAAGTGGAGAAGGATTTGAAAGCTGCCCAGAGAACAGTAAAAAGACACAGAAACATGTACTGCAAAGTTGTCTTGCTGGATGACACCATTTTTGAGTGTGCTGTGGATGTAAGTACTTTTGGGGTTTGTTTCTGCTTCTCTTTGCCCTCTCCCTTCTCTTCCCCTTGAAAAATCACCACAAACACTATTTAGCAGGGGTCTAATTTGCTGCCAGTGAATTACATGACAGGCTTTACTGCAGAACAATCTTGCTGTAAGCTATAACAGCTTATTTAGTGTGTTGTAAAAATCTCTGGGTGCCTAGGAATCTCTTTTTTTATTGTTCTACAATTTCCAGGGTGCCTTGCTTTGTAAAGGTGGGGGGAAGCTTAAAGAAAAAAAAGTTATCTTACTTGCTGTTCATCTTCTCTCTCATTTGTATCCCAGACTAGAGTTTAGGTTTTTGTGTTAGGTTGGCATGCCTAAATATCTTCTGCCCCTTTCCTTTGAATAAAATGGGTTGTCAAGTTGATTTGTGCTTTTCTGTTCACCCAAGGTACCTTCACTTATCAGGTTGCTGGCTAACATAACTCCTGGAGCTTGGATGTAAAGAAAAACATGCTGTGTTTAGCCTGCAGTTGAATATATTTGCAGTAAACAATTTAAAATTATTATGTTGACTTACAGCACTGCAAACCCCTTAATCTGAGAGCTTTTCTTCTGCTTTATTTTGTGCATTCTCTCACAGGGCCGTCTTGCTGTCAGGGCAATAAAAAGCTCGCAGAAATCCCCATTTCAGTATTGAAGCACTAGTCCAGAATATTAATAATCTGGTACTTAACCATTCGAGCATACTTCCATCAGCTTGTTTTTCCCCAGTCCCGCTGGCTAAATGGGCCAGGAGAGGGTATCTGGGCACAGGGTGCCTTGTGAAAGCAGTTACCTTGGGTGATCCTGGGCAAGTAGGTCAGCGCCGGCCGTTTGTGTAACGGCGTCGCTGCTGTTATTGCCCGGGATCAGCTCGGAGCATCACCGCCCCCATGGCCTTCCCCACCTGCAGCCAGCCTTTGCCAGGGATTTTGTGTGCAACCCCCGAAAATAAACTGTTCCCCGAAACGTTGGTGGCAGCTTCTTCGCCGGTGTCAGCTTGCTGTGGCTTTGTGCATGAGTTTGCTGCAGCGATGCCTTCAAATACCAGCAGGCTGCACGGACGCTGTTGGTGGGAGGGCTGGTGGTGGTGTGGTTGGTCCTGACTTGAGCAGGATGGTAGAAGTCTCTTTCTGTAGGTCCAGAGAGTGGTGGTGGGCACTGCGGAGAGGATTAGGAGGGGCTGCTGTGCCGGTGAGACCCTCTTGACTTGACGAGTACCCTTGGCTTTAACGCCAATATAATCCTACTCTAGCATTTTGAGAACTTATTAAGACTTAATTGGGAAGGAATTGCAAAGGTGTAGGCAAAGACCAGCACAAAGGCCTTTCTCTAAGAAGAATAAGTGCTTTCAGGCATCCTTTCCAATTGGCAGCCATGGGAGGTTTTTAATTCCTGTATGTCTTTAAGTGCCAATTCCTTGAGCAATATCCAGGCTAACACATGCACTGTGTTACCTATAGAGTTGCAACGTATGCACCACGGACCTTACAGCTGAAGGACTGGAATAAAACAAGGCTATGGTCTTCAATCAGTTGCCATGCAAATATGACTAAAAGGAGAGATGCGGGGCCCAAGCAATATGCATTAGTAAAGCTTATTTTGCGTCACTGGAACTGCACTTTCTTTTTAGCAAAGCCTCCAATAGAATTAGCTGCTTCTGGTTACCATAGTTTTGTGCCTCAGGGATGTTTTCCTTCATGCTTTCGGACTAAAAGGGTATCTGTTCCTAGGGCCAGTTCACTTCTGCAGGATTTGGAGAGAAAAAAAAAAAAAAAGAGGAGATAGGAATGCTCAAAGTGTGTTTCTGGAGGCAAGAAGTTGTGTGCTAAGCAGCTTTCCGTGCATAAGGCAAAACTGGAGAAGCTGGGTTTCATCAGCAGATCGGGTTGATGAAAAGGTCACAAAATGCTGGTCTTTGGTTCTCAGACGCTGTTTCTTTTGTGACCCTCCTGAGCCAGCTTGCCCCCAAAATGGGGGACTATAGCAGTGGGTTGCAGCAGCAGTTTCATACCCCACGTTGATCATCTTTTGATCAGCGCCTGATTGTCTGACAGCCTGGAGCTGGGAGATACCAGTGCGGTAGATGTACTTTGGGAGGGAAAATCCCTACCAGTCCTCGGTGTTTACTGAGTTGTGTTGAGAAGCTCAGCTTTGGGGGGGCTTCAGACACGGAGCTGGTGGTAGCAGAGAGACCCACTGCAGTTCCCATTGCCTCTCTGGTTTGAATTTTTATGCCTGATGCTCTTTCCTATAAGGGGTGCTTGCTCAGAAAAAGCCGGGAGATCTGATTTTGAGCTACTCAGGACTTTTTTCCCTTCTTGATAGCGTACAGTGTGGTTTGATTACATGCCCTTTCTCCCCTCTCCCGTGAACGAGGGCAGGCAAAAACCAGCCCGTCCTACAGAATTTCTTTTGTCTATTTGCAGAAACACGCCAAGGGGCAGGATCTACTTAAAAAAGTCTGTGACCACCTCAATCTCCTGGAAGAAGACTACTTTGGTTTGGCCATATGGGACACGCCGACCTCCAGGGTAAGCAGCTGCTGTTGCGTGGGTGTTCTGCACCGGGGTGGGTTCAGCTCTTTCAAAGGATAATCTCCTCTGGGGAGGAGGTGGTGCATAAGCTCTTCTTAAAACTCCTTTTGGTGTCCTCTCCAAAAAAGGACTAAGAGGGTCATCACAGAGGCAGAAATTGTGAATAAATGACTACAGGAGTGTGGATTTTAGTAAAAAAGCTGCATGAACTTGTATCTTCACCTGGAGAAAATTCATTATATTAGTTTACTGCAAAATGATGCCATTAATTTGTAAAGCTATAGCTCAAGAAGTTAGGGGAAGATAAGGCTTTTCTCACTGTAGAAAAGCAGCAGGGTTTTTTTTTATTGTGATTTTAAGAATAGGTTAACCACTCTTAGGCTATAGAAGATGAGCCTGAATGTCGACACACTGCAGGGGAACTTCACAGTCCTGGAGCCTGTGCTCACCAAAGGTGTAAGGCTGAGCAGTCGGCAGGAGTAAAAGCTGGCTGCCCTGGCACTGGTGTCATTTTTTTGTAAGGTTTGGTCGGAGCCATCCAGAGCAGTTTTGAGTCGAAGCTTTGCCTTGCGAAAAAACACACGTGACTCTTCATCCCAAAACTCTTACTCATATGGTTTCAGTTTAAGGTCTTTGTTTGGTTAGACTCAAGCAGTGTCTTATCTTTTAAATCCTTGGTTACGCTTTAACTCAAGCAATTACTCAAGCAATTACTCAAGCTCTGTTTCATGAAGCTAGCCAAAAGTGTGCTAAGTTGAAATCAGGGGCCCACTTTTATGTCCTTTAGACCAGTTACGTTGGTCCACATTCTGACTATTCTCGTGCTTCACCTACAGCAGTCACTTACAGGCCAGGTTACCGTGGCTGACAGACATTTGTCATTAAATACTTAATAATTGCAAGTGTGAATTTTTAATACTCAGGCAAAACAACACCCCATCGCTATTTGAGGCAGGCAGAGCTCTGTCTTGGGTTTGTTTTACTGTCTCTGGTGTCTTGCTATTTTCTTGTATGTGAAATTTGCTTCCATATATATAGCCTGAACTTTCTACTCTAGGAGTTTGTTGTGCTTGCAGAGGGAGGGATAGGTGTACTTTTCGATCCAATTAAGAGCAAAAAGAGTTTAGCTGGAGCAGCTCAACTTCTCACACTTGTGCTGTGGGCAGCTCACTGCTGCGTCTCCAAGACCCCCGGGACTTGCTCTTCTTGCGTCCAAGCGTGCTGGCGTTGATTCTTCCGAAAGCAAAAGCGCACACCTCCTTCCCCCCCAGCCGACAAGGGCTAAGGGGCTGTGCAGCTTTTTAACTGTAGGGACTGAAAACAGACAGTTTCGTCAGATTTGTGTCCCACAGCTGGGAGCTGAGGAAGGTAAAGCCGCTGTGCGTGAGTTTTAGCTCCAGTGCAGAGTAAGCTGCTCGGTGGAAGTCTGGTTTGCTCTGATGGGGGGAAAACACCGTTTTCTTGGGAATCTTTCTGGTTATGTTTCATTGAACGTTGAAATCTGAAGCTCCATCTCTCTTGCTGTAACTTCAAACAAGACCCGACACTGAGTTACTGATTCACAGGTAGAAATCATCTTAATAGGAAACCAAGAGATGAACTTCTGCACCTCACCCGCAGCTGTGCGGAGCAGACGGAGATGCATGTGTGTATTCCCGGACAGGGAAGGGTTTTATGCGGGATTTTCCACCTTGGTATTTAGGGAATAAACGTTCCTGGAGACGGGCATTTTCCCGCATGGGGATAGCAGAGGGTGACAGTGGGAATAGGAGATTGTGACAGTGGATAGAGCAGCTGGTCAGCACCGAAGGAGCTTGATGCTCATGCTGCTCTGAAAGGGAGGATTGTTTCCCACTGATTCATGACACAGTGTGGATAAAAGTGCCGTTAATTGCTGTACCCGTCATTGTCTGCTGGATCAGGCAGGGTGAGTGCTGGGGATGCATGACTGCACCCCGGGCTCGGCTGCCCGAAACCCAGCCCTTATCACTGCAGCAACGAGCAGTCGTGGCACCAGTGTGGACGTAGAGATGCTTTGCTTAAAACGGTGGCCCTAAAAAGACAGCAAGTGGCATGTTTACCTTTCAAATGGATTTTGTATCCCCAGTTTTATAGGTTAGAGGGGCAAGCATATAAAAAGATAAGATTAAATGTAAGTATCGCTGTCTCCCTGCCATGAAGTTACATGTCCTTCTGGTCAAGACAGATTAGCTTGGGGGATTCAATGAATTAATTCCTTCACCTCGGGAGACCTGGACATCCAAATCCTGCTCAGGGCTCGTGAAAATGAAGATGGTGGTTTAATGTAGCCTCTCCAGGAGGGCTGTTAGCACTGTGCCGTCGCCTTCAGCGGGGCAGACCCTGACCTCTGCAAAGGCAAAGGCTCAGGCTTGACGTGCCGGGAGTTGCTCAGACCATGCTGGCAAAAGCAGGAGTTGTTTTTTGAGGCTTATGTTGCACCACCATCCCACAAAACCCCAAATTACAGAGGGGGGAGGAAAAAGGATATATTTCTAAATTCGTAGCTGAGATAATTGCTAGAAACTTGAGTCATACTTAAAAGAGACGAAGTTTATGTCACGCTCCTGTAAAATATTCCAGCTTTTCCCAGCGATTGGATGTTTTCACTCGTATTTCAGTGATTAGGTTGTTAAAAACCATAGCTAATAATAGAAAGTCTTGGCAATCTTTGTTCTGAATAGGGTAAGTATGGAGACAGGGTGCCTAAAATGAATGCAAACATCCTATTTGCCTATTTTTAAAAGTGCTGGAGAAAAAAAATGTGTTGCACAATTGCCCCTCGTAGCTGGATGCGGCTGCGACCGTACGTGCTGCTATGTGCTTGCAGCCCTAATACACTGCCTTTTTTTTTTTTCTTCCCCCTCCTGTTCCTCCTGCCTCCCCTACGAGTAGCTGGTAGGTGAAGAGTTGGAAATGCACCCACCGAGACCACAGACTGGAGTAAAAGTTGTGAAAAATGCACCGTCTCTCCAGTTTCCATGGCTGCATTCATGTCAAATGTTGTCTTTTTGCCGTATTTTTAGTGATTTGCAGTTTTCTGTGGTGTTTCTGGAACGTCTGTTACACTGTGAATGTTTTTATCCTCTTACAGACGTGGCTGGATCCTGCCAAAGAAATAAAAAAACAGGTTCATGGTAAGTAGATTGAATTTATCATGCGGGGGGTGTGTGGTTTCTCCCCCCTTCCCTAAATAAGCGTGGCTTTGATGGGTGATCTGGGGGGCCAAGGATGGGTGAGAGTTCGGGTGAGGGTGTCTGGCAGGGATTGGCACAAGTTCAAGCAGCCTGTGCATCCTTTCTCTTCTTCTTAAGTACTTAGTGATGCTCTAGACTTAGGAAAAAATGTAATTTCCTTGGGAGAACGTAACTTGGGGTGTGTTCACCCCAAACCCACGCTACCCTTACTACCACGCGACGCTGAAATGGGAGATCTGCTCCCTGTTGGAGGATGGGAAAATAGGTGTCAGTGGGAACCATTTAAATCTCAAAGGAGACTAGGAGAGCCTGAGCAAAATTGCATGCTGTAGCAAGGTTTTATGGACTCTGAGGCTGTTTTGGGGTCCAAATAGGAATGATAAATGGCTCGAGTAGTATCAGGAGAAATGCCAGATGCTCTCCAAAAATGTATTTTAAGGTCTGCTAGCGCTGAATTAGTTCAAGATGAGGGCAGCGTCAAATAAATTTGAGGCTTTTGTTTTCTCTCAGGAGCAAGTCTGACTGCTTCGAAAGTACTGTCTTACGAAAGTAAAATACTGTTTTACGAATGCTTTTGGTGGGGGGCGCAGAACAAAATGTGTCATTAAGTACAGATTAGGGGGGAAATGCCGCAGGGCTGCGGAGTAGGAACAGCTCCTGCCCTTGTCAACTTCTCTCTGAATCGATAGCAGGATGTGTGTAAAGGGCATGAGCTGCAGGTAAAATTCAGCTCGTAAGTGTAATGAGCAACCTGCTATGGAATCTGGTCCCCTGAGATGGGTTAAATGGCAAATTATTTGAGTTGACTTGAATATGTGTTGAACGTACATATGAATATGTGTGCACCGATAGGTATTGGTGTACATACATAGGGAGTCAGTCTCTGCATCCTCCTTGCAATACGTAGGAAACCTCTGCTACCTAAAATGTCTTCTTGGAATAACTTGTTTTGAACTGTGTATAATGAAAACAACATGCCTTGTGTTTAATCCCAGTTATGGCGTTGCATAAGAAGTAAATCCATGAATGCTACGTCCCCCCTCCTCCCTGTTTGAGATTGCGATAAATCTCTGAGCAAGTTAAGCGCAGGGGTATCGTCTCTTTCTGACATAAATATTATTTTGAACTAGTGTTAAAAGGCGCAGCAGGGGGGAGCTGTAACTATGAAAATTACTTTGAGTGCTTAATGGGTCAGTCAGGACTATTTTCTGCGGGTAAACGTGATTATTTTCAAGAAAAAGAGAGAGTAACCCCTTCAGCTGTGTCACCTAGGCTGTCCATACCACATATAATGCCAATTCTAGGTGTGATTATGTGGATTCTCACTCCAGTTAATGCCTGTAACGGTGCTGCACAAGGTTTGCAACAAGCTGTATTGAAGCATTTAGGTCTGGACTTGTAAAGCTCTTCCTGTCTCGGTGCTTGCTGTTTCTTCCAGAGTTTGATGCTCGTATTGTGCCGAGTTTAAACCGTGGTCTGACCACCCGACCACAGTGCATTAGGCTGCTGAGTGAATTAGCACATCTGCTCCTTACGAGAAATTTGAAAATTGGGTCAAGTGATAAAACAGTATTAATTCATTAACTTATAGCACACGGCTGACCTCTCTTCATGAATCTATCTTTTTTTTTTTTTCCAATCAGTGAAAAAAATATGTGAGTAATTTAGCCTCTTAGCAATGAATTTAATTTTTTCCACAAGTTGTGGTTTATTCCCGTGTATTTGCCTGCCCTGCTTTGTTTTCTCCTGCTTGTATCTTAGCTCTTGTAAATGAAATCATATCTTATACTGTCTGCTAAGCAGCAGCTAGCTGGGCGAGCGAGCAGTATTAAAATCAGTATTATGATCCGCTGGCCCGATTTTGAAGATCAGACTGGATATCTCCAGCTTTTTTGTAACGACTGACTATCATGAAGCTGTTCTGGTGTGTTTATTTTTCTCAACCTCTTCTTTGTAATTGCAGGAGGTCCCTGGGATTTTACCTTCAATGTCAAGTTTTATCCACCGGATCCCGCGCAGCTGACAGAGGACATAACCAGGTGAATTACCTGGGAATCTTGCTACCAGCCAGGGAGCTCGCTCAGCAAAGCAATGAATATTGAATAGAAATTTTTAATATTTGGGTCTTATTCCATCCTTCAGCAAGGAGATCTGATGTCTGATAACGGTTTGAGGGGTTTTTGGGTTGTTTTTAGTGGATGTGTGGGATGCTCCCTCTCTTCACCGAAGTCCACATGTGTAAAGCAGTGTCATTTATAACCCTGGCATGTGTGCGTTTGTATAGAAAAGTACATTTTTATTTAAAACCAAGATTTTCTGATGGTAAGTGTCCTCTACTCCCTTTGCAGAGTGGAGTAAGTCCTCCTGTCCTCCGCGTGGTTTACTGAGGGAATATCACCTGATAAGTAAAAATACAGGTGGAAATTAGAAACAAGCACCATGCTGCGTTCATCAGTGGCATAAAAAAAGAGATTCTGTTTGATCCTCAAGTTTCTTAAGTTTCTCTATGCTCTCTGTAAATAGTATTTTGATTATTTCCCCCCCTCCCCAGGTATTACTTGTGTCTTCAGCTTAGACAAGACATCATTACGGGGCGGCTGCCCTGTTCCTTTGCGACTTTGGCTCTGCTGGGTTCGTACACGGTCCAGTCCGAGCTGGGAGACTATGATCCCGATCTACACAGCCCAGATTACATCAGTGAATTTAAATTGGCCCCAAACCAGACGAAAGAGCTCGAAGAGAAGGTTGTGGAGCTTATAAAACATAACAGAAACATACAGGAAAGGTGCGGCGGCTGGAGGACTTGTTCGTGCACAGCAGCCGGAAATAATGGCAATAATGGGGCTTTCTGGTATTTTCCCCACCTCTGTTGTATGCTTTTGATTTCCTGCTGCACCAATTTTTTAACGTCGGCAACAGAAGCTTTAGCAGTAAGGTGTGAATTTTCAGCTACTGAGAGCACCAGCTATTTAAAAAAGATCTAATACTTTATAACAAAATCTCTCTAGAAGCTGGAATTCTTTTTTCCTGCGTGAAGAAGAAACTGTTTTTAGAAAGCAGATGCAAAGCCTTGCAATTGTTTATTAATATGTGCTCTTTTTCAACAGTATAGCCGTGAAAGTGGTTTTATTTCATGTGAAAATACAAAGTTTGCTTGTTTTAACCTTGCCCTTTGTCTTTTTTTTTTTACATTTGCTTTGGGATTTACGTCATTTTTGGACTGCAGTCTGGTTGGAGCAGATCTCATCTCTGTGTGTACGCTATAGCTTACAGCATGTTTGGGGTTTTCTGCTGCCACATTTAATAACACTTTCTAATGTGGAAGCATTCCAGATGATGCAGGAGGTATAAACCTGCAGTTAGGCTGTCCTCCTCGTGTTTCCCAGTGCGGCCATGACCTGGGCAGATGTGTCTTGTTCAGGCAGGGTTGAAGGACTCCTGGGAGTCCCCCTGGAGACTCCAGATTAAAGGGTCACAGCAACCGAACCTCTTCCTCGCCTTACTTTGAGCTTATTTTCATCGATGCTCTTGAGTGCTTGGATTGCAGAAGCTGTGCGGAGCTGTGCGCTCGCCAGCGCAGAGGGCTGGCGTGGAGAGTGGCCAGCTGGTAGCTTCTGCACCCTCCCAGAGGTACATTTGGGTTTTAAGAGAAAAAAAAAAGCCCATAAAACCACTCCATGATACTGAGGCCTTCATCTGGCAGCCCCTTGACCTGTGAAAAGCTGCCGGCTGATGCACTAAAAACAAGAACAGAGCAAAGACGAGACCTTCTCGCGGGCAGATGGGAACTAATAACCTGAGTGCAGTAGGGAAGGGTGGACGTGTGCCCCGGGCTGTGACCAAAGCTACAACTAACACCTCGCTCAACCCCGCAAATCAATACTTTAAATTGATTCCCCTCCATTTGCACTGAGAGGAGAGGAAATGAGGGAAAATAAGTATGGGGCCGCTGACAAGCTTCATGACTTGAAGTCAAAGGCCATTAGCTGTGCTAGAAGTGGCAGATCACATTGCTGAATTATTCATGGCTTCATTAGAAGGATACTTCAAGGTATAGGACGTAGTTATATTTAATCTACTTGTGTGTGCAGGAGGGAGGAAGCAATATGCGCCCGTTTAATTTCTGGCCCGTATTCTGTGGACATTAAACTGTCAGAGGGTTTTCAGTGGGAAAACTCTGCTAAACCGTGGTCCATCTCTTGCTACTTTATCTGCAAAGCACAAGGCACGTGTCGGAGATAGCGACTGCTCCTGGGTCTTTCCTAGAGGATTGTCCTTACAGTCGTCTTTGTCTGCCCCGTCTCCCACCACTAAAACCTCTATTTACATCGCACACAAGATGTGTGCGAGCGCTCAGTAAGAGAGACATCAAGGCAGGGAACGAAATGAAATGTATACAGCCGAATACTCTCCCAGCAGAGCTGTTAGATGTACCTTGTACACCAGAAACTTATTAACAAGGGCACTTCAATAACGTTGATAATAGCCTCCATTATCAGGATGTTTCTGTTAAGCGAAGTTGTGTGGCGTTGCCCCTCCTGCAGACAGGGTACCATCTGTTCCCAGAAAACGTCTCATTCATCTGGTCTGCCCCAGTAGGAATCGCTGCCGAGTGGTCTCAGCTGTCCTTGCGTTTGGTCTGGAGAACAATAGCTGGGTTTGGGGGGGGGAAGTGTCTGGAGGCAGGAGGTCTGGGAGGACAGTACCTGTCACCCTCTGCCTTCAGCTGAATTGGTGTTTCTTGCACTGAATCAAGTTTTGGACCCTGTACCGCACTTCCTCGCCGGATAACTTGCTTTCTTGTCTGGGGTCTGTACAGCTCCACAGAAATAAGGTGCATCTCTTTTATGAGGATGTCTCAAAGCACAAATTTGTGCATTCAGAGCGATTTAGTAATTCTTCATCTGGGCACAAATTTGTGTTGAAAGCAAAAGAAAATCTAACGAGTAAATGGTTTTGTGAAGTCTGATCTGTCCCCTCCTAAAAGCAACAGTTACGGGAATACCAAACCCTTTCTCTCTTTCCTCAGATCCATGACTCCAGCTCAAGCAGACCTGGAATTTCTTGAGAATGCAAAAAAGCTGTCTATGTATGGAGTCGACCTTCACCAAGCCAAGGTGAGAATCAACGTGTGTGCACCTGCCTGTGGATTTTGTAATTTGATTATCCTTCCCTTGCAGGAGCAAGTTTCAAGAGGGTCCTTTTGAAAGATATAGGAAGTAAGCTGGCTACTGGTACAGAAACACAGACACAGAATAGAAATGCCTCAAGCACCATTGCGAGTGTTGTAAGAGAAGTGATTCTTCCCGATTGCTTATTATTTATATATTACAGGAAGCTTTACAAAGCTACTGATGTAGACAGGTCCTTGCTCTGAGGAGCTTAGAATAAGGCTCTGACCCTGCAAGGTGAGCTACTCCGCTCAGAGAAATGCAGGATAGACTCTAGAGCAGCCCTTTGAGCTAACAGCATCGCAGGAGAGATCTGCAGAAGGGAGGAGGTTGTAAGGAGAAGCGTGAAGGAAAAGCAAGCCTGGCCCTGGCTGCATAGGGAGCTAGAAGCTGAGGTCTGGGTGGTGGGGAGAGGAATTCAGGAGAGCCTTGGGGGAAGACCAAAGGGGTAATTTGGAGGACAGACATTCTCCTGAAATTTGTAACTCTGACACTGCTTAAATCCTCATCTGTTTTCCCAGGACTTGGAAGGAGTGGATATCACTCTGGGAGTCTGTTCCAGTGGCCTTCTTGTTTACAAAGATAAACTGAGAATCAACCGCTTCCCTTGGCCCAAAGTCCTGAAAATTTCCTACAAACGCAGCAGCTTCTTTATCAAGATTCGGCCAGGGGAGGTACGTCCTGACTTCTTTGTGCTCGTGTCTTCTTTAATTGCCTTCTGATTATCACCAACGTGTATGCTTCACGGGGGGAGGGAGCAAGCTTTTCTTTGAATGAGCATTTTACACTCTATTGGGTTTCTGATCTTGGCTTGGTGTTAAGTTCAGCTCTTCAGGTAGTGCCCGCTGACCTTGCTGAAGCTGTAAAACAGCAGGTGACAATTTAAACAGCGTGTCATCCAGCACCACCTCCTGGCACTGTGCGGTATTCCCAGCATCCAGAGGAAGGCGGTGGGAAGTTCACAGTTGAGACTGGGAGAGGACTAACTGTTTCTGGAAACAGGGCAAGACAAAGGCTCTTTGTCTCACTTTAAAAAAAAAAAATTAAAAAATTACAGAGGCATACCTTTTCACTTAGACTGCCGCAGGCAGGGGGCCGGCTGCCCTGACGCTGCCTCTCGTGAACAGGGAGATCCCTGGAGCAGCCTGGCTGCTGGAAACACGGTGGGGAGAGAGGCTATAATGGGGTTCTGCCTCTTTACTCCTCTCCTCCTTCCTCCTGCTTCGGCTGCCGTGACCCAGCCTTGCAGGGAGGTCAGTTTTCGACCCCGTCCCGCAGCTGGGCAGCGTGATGGGGGGGTAGATGAGTCTGGCTGCAAAACCCACGGCACGCTCCTCTGCAAATCCTGGTGCATCCTGAGAGATGCCCAGGCTTGTGGGCAAGCCCTGTCTTTTCTCGGACCCGAGCTCCTCCTGCACATCATGGAGTGAGTTCAGCTGCTCTTGGGCTAGACCAGCAGTCTGTGCCGCAGCAGAACAGGTCGATGGGCTGGGAACTGGACTCCTGCCACATTTATTTCTTGCTACACTTAAATAACTTCTATTTTCCGCAGCAAGAACAGTATGAAAGTACAATTGGGTTCAAGCTACCAAGTTACCGGGCAGCGAAGAAACTGTGGAAAGTATGTGTTGAACATCACACGTTTTTCAGGTGGGTTTTCTAACTGGTAGGCTAATAACGAATAACTAATGCTTTAGATAAGCTGCTGAAAATGAGCACTCCTTCAGCGTTCCTTGGTGTTTCACAAAAATTGGAGTGAAATGGTTGCAGAGACATTAGGTGTTTATATTGCAATAAATTTCTAGGCAGCTTGCGCTTCATAAGATACATAAGACAGAGGTCTTCTAGCTTACGTAGATGTGGGGCTTAGTGTATGTTGTTTTGTTAATCAAGCGTATGCAGAGACTTCTTTAACTTGTATTTTAATTTCTCTTTACCTGCCGCTTCCTAGATCTGGAGGTATGATTTTTTTAATTGTGTGTGTGGTTTTCAGGCTGACTTCCACCGAGGCCATCCCAAAGAGCAGGTTCCTGGCGCTGGGCTCCAAGTTCCGCTACAGCGGCCGGACGCAGGCGCAGACGAGGCAGGCGAGTGCCTTGATCGACCGACCTGCTCCACAGTTCGAGCGGACGGCAAGTAAGCGAGCCTCCAGGAGCCTTGACGGAGGTGAGTGTCTGATCCCTCTTTCCAGGCAAGTAAGCGAGCCTCCAGGAGCCTTGATGGAGGTGAGTGTCTGGTCCCTCTTTCCCATTCATGGCTGGATTGTGCAGGATGCTGAAATACTCCTTAAATACTACCTAAATTCCCTGCTTTAAAAGTAAAAAAGCATAACTTCTCACTTTAATACAAGACCTGGATATAAAATGCAAACCGATAGTAGTACTAGCAAGAACTGACTGACAAAAAGGATGTAGGTGGGTGCTGAAGGCTTATGGCAAAGTTCTGGTTGTAAAGATATTTCCTCATTCAATCTCAATGCATTTTCCTTTTAGCAAATCAGGAATTAAGCTATTCAAGGATTTGTTTTGTTTAACGTAGCTTCTTAAATTACATAGTTTTCCTTGAGGGGGAGATTTTTTGCCACAACTGTTTGAAACCTTTTCAGCATGTGTTAAAGCAATGCTAATGTTGAAGTTTGTGGTGTATCGTTCAGGTGGGCTCATCCCTGACATTATTAAAAGAGCTGGATAGCAGCAGGCTAGAGGAGGTGAGGCATGGAACGGGGAATCCCTAAGTTTGCTCTCCTTGACCTGGATCATGGGGTGCTTGTAAAATTAGGATCCAGGGCCGAGGGGAGCATCCCTTTGCACCAAGAGGATCCAGGGCTGAGGGGAGCATCCTTTTGCACCAAGAGGATCCAGGGAAAGGGGAGCATCCCTTTGCACCAAGGGCACCTGATGGAGCAAGAACAGCGTTGCTTTGAGCCCCGAGGTCGTGCTGCAACCCAGGAGGGAGCAGGGCTGCCCCAGTGCCCCGTGGCCAGCAGCAGCCAGGCTGCCCCTGCTCCTGGCATGGGTTTACAGGGCTCAGCGACACCCCGAGCCTGGGCTTCATGCCTCGGAGCCGGGAAGGAAAGGGCTGCTTGGTTTGAGCTCTGTACCACAGCAAAGCAAAATGCCTGCTTGCCGGCAGTCCGGGCATGCGAGGTTACCCAGGCACGGTGCACGGAGGCGAGGGGATCAGCGCTGTTGGTTGCCCCTTGGCCATGCCATGTAGACCGTTATGATCCCAGATGAGTAGAGAAATCCCCATTGCAATCCCGCACCCAAATGTCAGGGCTTGGAAAAGAGCAGCCTGTGAATGTAACGCTTCTGTCCCCGTTGAAGTCTGCAGCCTTCTTCCATCTGCTGTGTGGGCAGTCGTTAACATGTGCCCCGTTTCTTCAGCTAAACGTGTGACTCAAAAAGTTGAGTTCAGAGCCGTAAAGGAAGAGAAGCAGGAGGTGGTGGTGGTTGAGGTTCCCGAACCAAAACCCGCGGATCAGATCCGAGAGAAGCCAGGTATAGCTGTGGTGGTGGCTACAACTCTTCTGCAGCGCCTTTCCTATCCTTTACATGCTTGTTCCTGACAACCTAAAGTTTCACCAAATCTGGCGGCTTTCTTTTTCCTTTCTTTGCAAGAAGAGTTTCACAGTCAGAGGACAGACAGCCCGGCAGAGCCCCGGCTCTGGGAGATGCGTTAAATTTCCACCTCGCACCTTGTCAGGTGGTAATTCTTGTGGGGAGGTGGGGGAAAAAGTTCAGGATGTGCTGGCACTTGGGAACTGTCTCCTTATTAAATTTGGGTGGTTTTCTAAACGTGGATTAGAAAACTTTAAAGTTTGGTCTTGAAACTTCTTGTGAAGCTTCGGGAATTCTTCATCCCGGGACCTGCTTGCGCACCTTGTCAGGAATTAATTCTTGTGGGGAGGTGGGGGAAAAAGTTCAGGATGTGCTGGCACTTGGTGTCTCCTTATTAAATTTGGGTGGTTTTCTAAACGTGGATTAGAAAACTTTAAAGTTTGGTTGAAACTTCTCTTGTGAAGCTTCGGGAATTCTTCATCCCGGGACCTGCTTGCCATTTTTTAAGCCTATTCTGGGTTTTTTGGTGGTTTGAGAAGTGCCGCCCATTTTGCTACATGGGGCTTATATTTCTCTTGGATAAGTACTATTAATAAATATTAATGCCCGTAAGAGGTGTGTAGGTACAACGATATATTTGATACTAATAAGCATATCACAGCAGTGGTGGTGTCAAATATTTGCAGTCTTCATCACTTCAATAGCGAATGCCTGCGGTGCGTTAGGGCTGGAGATAATTCGTATGCAAATGCATTGTGTACTGCTCCACTTGCCTTCTTCCACCCTGATTTTTTTTTTTTTTTACAGCACGCTTTTGACATCGCTGTTTTTCTGGTATGAAATCTAGACCAAGCTTTCATAAAGTAATGTGGCAGACTGTCTCCCCACCACTGTCTTGCCTTGAATTCTCGCTAGTCAACATCGCCTGGCAGGGGAAGCCTGATGCTGTAAAAACAGGAGGTGGAGAATTAACATTTAAGACACCAGGATAGATGGCTGTATGTTTTTAGTTTTTAGATTTGAAGTTGATCACTCAAGTACATTTAGTTAAAGCTGCTAGTTTTTATACAGGTTTTTATCTAGAGGAACCTGGGTGTGTTTTTCCAGGATTTTACCAGCCAGCACCTGCATCTCCCCAGACTTTGTAGGCAGAGCTCGTCCTAGTACCGCACTTGCGAGCCGTTCGAGTGTCCCCACGTATCTCTGCCTGGGCAAGAAGCCTGCAAAGCTTATTTGTGTTGGTTTTTTTCCCCTCTCGTCCAATACACTGTTGGGCCTGGCAGCACTAGAAAGGCTGATATGCAACTGCGTGGTGAAAAATTACTATTGGGCTGCCTGGTTTAAAAACCTCCTTGCTGTTCTCAGCCACTGCCTTGGAGAGGGATCTCCTCTCATTCTTTCCTCTGCTGTGGCGACCGTGGTGTGTCCGCGCGATTCTCCAACGGCTCTATTAACGCATGCAAACCTCTTTCTAGCCAAACACGCTCTTGAAACTTTTGAAATGAAACCCATTGCAGAGGAGGAAGAGGAGGAGGAGCAGGTAGAGGTGGTTAAGGTTCCTGTTGCTGAGCCAAAGCTACCGGAGCCGTTGCAGACATGGTCAGGTACAGCCGCAGCGGCGTTTGCCATCGGTGTGGCTCCTGCGGCCGCCCGTGCTATGACCTGCTGGGTTGAAGTGATGCAGTGCTGTAAGACAGAGGTTGCGTTGTTTGCAGTGGTGTTCATTGCCATTAAAATCACACTCGGCTTTGCAAGTGTGCTGTAATACACGAGCGCTGCTTTATCGGGTTGTGCCTCTGATTGAGACGAGGAGGTGCCGTGCCGTGGCTTGGCTGTGTGCCTGCGTGTTGGAATGAGTGTGCGATGGCCTTGTAACGCTCCTCTGTTCCTGTGTCCCTTCTTGTAAGGTTCGTTCCTCTGAGCTGTAGGAATGCGTGGTGCCTGAAAATCAGGTTGTGTGCCCTGGGACTGCTGGAGGTCACCTACACTCTGCTTTTTTTTCTTTGCTAGGGAGCCTGCTTCTTCCCTAGTTGGGGTTTTTTTTCAGAGCAACTTCACTGCTGCAGACAGATACACCCTAATCTTAATTAAAAGCAGAGTTGGTTAATCATTGCAGGAAGAGGAGATTGAAGCCGTGGAGGGAGGTAACTGGGAACTTCACCCGTTTTCTTGAATATTATGAAAAACACTAAACCAGCCCCTGCGCTTAGATTCGAGGCTATTCCGTGGGATGGGCTGCAGCAGAGCAGACAGTGGCCAGTGTCAGACCCGAGCACATCCAGGGGTCTCCTGCTGCAGCTGCCCCTTCTCCTCATTCACCTCCTGCACTTTTTCCTCCTCTTGACACTTTTGTTCCCGGCAGGGACTGTTTTCTTGGCCGGGGTGATGATGATTGGTATTTTAAATCTCATATTTTGGAGCGGCGCTCTTTACTGTGTTTAAATCGTCATGTGTCAAAATAGCTAAAGCTAGTAAATCAAGAAAATACAATTAAAATAATGTGGTTCTGGACAGCAGAGAGCTCGTTGCTGAATATCAAAGGAAAAGCCTAGGATCTTTTATTATTTTTCCTACATGTCTTGATGCTCTGAAGCACTGTGAGAGAAGCAGGAGTCCCTAAAGAGAGGTGGCCCTGTGGATTTACTGATGGCGGTATTTGCTTTGCGACTTGATCTTCGAGGTGGCATTTTAACACCTGCATAACTTTTTTAGCCACACATGCTCTTGGCAATGTTGAGATAAGCCCAATTGAAGAGGAGGAGGAAGAAAAAATGGTGGTGATGAGAGAACTAGAGCCGGTCCCACAGGAGCCAGGTACCACCACGAGGGCTTTGCACACCCGGCGTCCTCCTAACCCCGACTGTTCCTGCCGTCTCACCGTCCCTCTGTACAACCTCCCTGGCGGCTGTCACCGCTTCTGTGGCATAAATAACACCGGGACACGGCACTGGTTGTCCTTCCAAAAGGATAACACAATGCCTGGCTCGCAGAAATGAACTGCCATGCCGAAGAGGGGGGGAGATAACAGAGATGGCGGTGGTGGTTTGGGGTCTTAGTGTGGATTTTCAGCAAGACGTGGCGTCTAGGAGTTTGTCTTAAAAGTGTAATTTCAGTCTCTGAAAAATCAAGTTCTATTTTGCCCCTCTACCTTGTATGTTTTTGGCCACATGGATACTTTATTCTGTACATGTTTTATACACACAGAGGAGATGCAGTTATCTTTTCAGTGAAACAGGAATTCTTCCTAAGGAGTTACTTAAAATTACAATTTCTTCTTTAACGCCAAATTTTCTAGTGTCTTTGACTAGCTGGATGGACACTAGTAACCTAGCATTGGCTGGGGTAAGCTACACAGTGTGACCCTTGCTGCCTAAATTGTGACTTTAGGAATATGAGACCACGTCAAAGGAATTATTTCAGGTGACTAGGTATATTTTTAGTGGAATGGCCATAAAAACCAACATTGGGAGAACTAAATAGCTTATTGCGTCTATAGGTACACGCAGTGAATTAATTGGGGCTTGCTTTGTCGCACAGTATTGGCTTGAATATTTTGGCGGTGTCAGGCTTTTCAGGGATCGGGAACTGTCTGGGAAATCAGGAATCGAAGGAAAGAGTAGGCAGTCGATTTTGTGTGTACCTAGTGCTTGTATTTAAGGCTGTCATCCTCTGGAAAGATGATTTTTTTGGCAGCATGCTATTCATTTCTGCACTGTCACTGATCTGGAGATGCTGGGTATCTTCTCGCAGCGGTGCCTTGGGCTCCAGCAGGAGATACCCATCTCGGACACGCAGCCTCAGCCTGCTTTGAAACCCACCTGGAAGCTGCTATAAAGTTTTATAGAGCAATGCTTGTTGATTATTTTTTGTCTGAATTGCTGAAAAGAATGGGGAGATGGGGGGAAGCCTGTGTTGCCCTTCCAGAAACCATCCGTTTCTGGTTGAGGAGATGCCAGTGAGTCAAGAACTCACCACAGCTATAAGTGTTTCGATTTTAATGGCTGCACTGGGATGGACTTCTGTGTCTGTTGTGTGTGAAGGACCCAGAAATCGATGGCACAGTGTCAAAAATAGATCCGCCTTTCTGGTGTGGCTTCTCTGCAGAGTGCAAGCTTGCTTTTTGTAAACCATCTGTTGTGGGGTTTTATTTTATTTAAACCATAAGGAAAATAATCACAACTTTCACGTACTAAATGCACAAGCTGCTTTGCTCAACATCTTTATTTCTTCTCCCCTTTTTTCCTCCTCCCTTTCTTTATAAACGGCAGCACTGTAATTTGGAAAGACTTTACCCGGTGCTTTAGAAACGTTGCCCGCTCTGAACCTTGTCCCTGTCTGTCTCTCCCCCATCCTCAGCAGTGGCCGTGATAACCCCCGAGAGGAGTCCCCGTCCCACCTCTGCCCCGGCCATCGCTCAGAGCCACGCTGCAGAACCAGCCCCAGCTAAGCCCGACGCGAAGGACGTGGTCGCTGCCTCTAAAGTTGAAAAGGAAGCAGCGAAACCCGATGTGAGGCGTGAAGAAATCCCACCGGAGAAAGCCAAGCCGGAGCCAGCCGATGCATCAAAGGTATGGCAGACCAGAGTCTCTCTGGAAGAGGCTGCGCTTGTGCCGGGCTGGAGCACTGGCTCTAGAAGCCGCCCCAGAGCAGCGGCTGTGTGCCCCTTCCCCTCCCGGGCAGCGAGGGGTTTATTCCTCGCCCGGGCATCGGGTGGGAGTGAGGTACGGGGGTCTGGGTCCCAGGGAAATCCCAGCCCTGACCCCTCCAAGTGCGAGGGAGGAGGAGGTCCAGGGCGGCTGGGTTTTGGTGGTTGCAGTGGAACTAAATGCAACTTACTGATACATGGTTAAAAAAGCTGGCAAGAATTGCCCAGAACTTCATGGTAATTGAATTTAGAACTCACCCATTGCTAAGCTGTCTCTGCTGATTCCTGGTATGACAGCAGGAGCAATTCCAGTGAAATCAGTCATACGGATCTGGTCTGCAGCCCAGCGTCTGAATGCAAATGTTTTTTACATTGATAGGCTTTCTCTGGGAGAGCTGTTAATATGTTTCTGCAAACTGGACTAAAACTTCAGTTGTGAATGGCACTGCTGAGACCATGGGGGGGTTTATTGTTTAAATGAAATTTTTTTTAAACATTATTTGAGCTTTTTACAAATGTCTGAGACCTCTGCTGATGTTGGTCTGTGTGTATTGTTCCCGTAAGTGAAAATAATGTGAAAAATTATTGTTCATATTACAGTGTCCTTAATAGTCTGCAAATCTTATTGACTGAAACCTTCCAGTGTTGCAGCAGAGGTGTATGCCTCGAGATACAATTTTCACATCACTCTGAATATTTAGCTCTTCTCAGCATTACTGGAGCCACATTTTTGCTATAACATATCACGCAGTGGGTCTTGTATGACATACTCCAGGGGAGATCACTGTTAATTAAGGTTGGGAGATGGAGGTGAAGAAAGGACAGTTGCTGTGAGACCTGTAATTTTTAAATGAAAATGCTGAAGAGATCTTCAGGATGGCACTTCGGAGTGTGCATCGTGGCACGGAGTTCCTGTAATGCTGTTCCTGCACGGCTGCTCACCCTCCCTAGCATTAAACTGAGAAAAAGTAAATTTTATTCATCCCATCTCACTTTACTACAGGGTCTTTTCCTAAATGCTTAAACACTAGATATTTTTTTTTTTCTTTAAATGTAGATGTGGGAGGAAATTCTGGATTTGAACGTGCCAAATTTACCCTGTTTCTCAAATGTAGCTGCATCACTTCTTTTAACACCCACCGATGCTTTCGCCTTCAGAGTATTTGGCAATCCAGTTTCCCTAAAATACTTTCCTCAAAGTGTTAAGACAATCTTGGCTCTCTGCTTACAGACAGTAAAGAACTTAATTTGTGATGTTGGGCTTGATTTTGTAGATAGGTCTCTTCTTACTGACTCTGCGAACATAATACCTGTGCGTAACAAATGATTTTCTGCTTTTGAGAAGGTCTGTGTTAATTTGAGCATGTTGCTTTTGGTACGGATTTCACTGGGAGATCCAGCCGCGAATGAAATTTGAAAACGTTGCCTGGCAAAGCTAATGCAGGTGGGAAGCCCTTCTTCAGAAGCACTAGAGAGCCCTGGTTTCAAATGCAAATAATTCTCAAGCCGAAGGAATTATTGTAAACGTGCTGTTAACTAACAGGCTGTCGGAGAGCTGCGGTGTCATTAACTCTTTCCGGAGGACTGCATGTTGGTTTTTGCATGTTCACCCAGCATTTCAAAACCAACTTTATGCAGCTGTGTTTTGAAACTAAATGGTCTCTTGAAACAAGTCTACTAACAAGGAATGTTTTTACCAATTTATTTCTTAAATGTAGGTGAGGAAAACGCACATTGAGGTCACAGTACCCACCACGAATGGTGACCAGCCCCAGGTTTGTGCTAATAATTCAGTTAGGTTGCTCACATTTTTTTTTTTAAGGTTATACAGTGAGGTTCAACATAGTTAAATGAACCAACAACTTTTTTTTTTTTTTTTATCACTGCCCAACAGCAGCAGCCTGCAGAAAAAGAGGAAGAACTGATAAGAATGAGGAAGGTTAGCCATTTTACACTTTCACCAAACAAATTTGCCATATCATTCATGCATCTGTAACCTGTTTAAAAAGACAGTGCTCCAATTTCTTCATGTGCTTTGGGTTGGGTTTTTGGTTTTGTTTTTTTAAACTGCAACTATCAAATATTTGATTTTAAAATGAATAGCGTTTTGTCCCATAGACAGTCTGATCGCTAAAATTATGCATGTTGAATGTTTGAGAGAAACACACTGGGTTTGATTTATAAAATTTATCCTCTCTGTAACAAATTTAGTTAGAAACCAAAGAAAACTGTATAGTGTGTGCATTCCAGGAAATGCAAAAAAAAAAAAAGTATAATGCTTTTTTTTGTATTGATTAAGTAATAGGGGACATATCCGAGATGGGAAAGGTGTTTAAGACATAGTTCATGAGCACACTGAGACCTTGTAGAAGTTACACCAGGCAGTACAGCCTGGTACACTGGGGTGGGCATGCCTCGCTGTCAGGAATATGAAGTCGTGACTTCGTGCAGGGCTTCCACAGAAAACCGGTAAACTGTCTCGTGACACAAATCAAGGCAAAAGCCGATGAACCCCTGGGAGCTGTCTCTTTAAAGGACTCATTGCATTTCCCCATTCTCCATGAGCAAGAACCCCCATTTCCTGGTGGTGGCCCCACGCCGGCGTCCCTGCAGCTGGGTCCCCACCCCACACTGGCACAGCGCTGCGCTCCCAACGTTGAGTTAACTTTTTTAATTTGCCAATTTGTCAATCCCGCAAGAACAACATTTTAATTTTTTGTGCTTTTTTTTTTGTTTGTTTTGTTTCCCCTTTTTCTTTCATTTTCACAGAAAAGATCAAAGAGGCTAGATGGTGAAAACATTTATATCAGGCATAGCAATTTAATGTTGGAGGTTTGTATGAACTTGAAGCTTTTTTCAGTTGCGTTTGCCTAGACCTTCTGCATCTGCGCTGAACTTTTTTCTTCCTCTGCTGCCGCTGCCTTTGTTTTTGCATGCCGTTGCATGAAAGACCTTTTTTTTTGTTTTGTTTTTTAAATACGCTTTTGCATGGTGCTGGTAAACATGACAATGTGCAGGCATTCTTCCTTCTACCTCTTCTGACTTTCATTCTCTCGTACTTACCCAAAATATATGATTGGCGGAGCTGCGTGCTCTGGTCTGCTCTTGGACCCGCTGGGTGCTCACAGTGGCGTGAATCGTGGCAGGGGGCTCATTTACAAGTTTCTCCTTGCTTGAAATAAATTATTTTCCTGGGGGAAAAGACGGTCTATGAAAATGCAAAATTCAGGATAAGCTGCAGGTGAAGTTGTCACCTCCATGGCGTTCAGGCCACCGCGATGTCCACGTTGCTTCAGACAGGAGCGAGTCCTCCTTTCGGACGTTGCTGCCGGTGTTGCAGCAACGCTTGCAACGTTGCAATCCTTCTCCCACCGCTCGCTTGCCTTGCAGCATTTTTAACGCTCCCCTCGGCCCCATCCTGCGTCGGCGCCAGGTCCCCTTGGAGCTGATGCGGGGGCTCGATGGCCATGGGTGGCTTGCGAGCAGGCGAGAAGCCGTTTCGTCCCTCCACATACAGCTGCTCCCTTCAGCTTTGGGAGCCCTTTACACTTGGTTTCGCCCAAGCACAGCCTCAGAACAGACCATGCCAATCATATATTTTTTTTTTTTTGATACACTGTGTTACAGAACATGTTTTGTGGCTTCTGATACTCTGTGTTACGTGTTTCTACTCAAAATTGCAGCACCAGCAGCTGGTAGGGTTTCCCTGTTGGTATCTCTTGCAAGTGAAGTGTACTAACTGCCTTCTCCTAATCTCAATTTTAAAAGTTTTGCAGCTTTTGGGTGTGTTGGTGGGGTTTTTTTAATTTGATTTTTTGTTGGGTTTTTTTTTTTTTGACTGCTACAACTTAAGCTTTCGGCCACGAGTGAAGGGTCTGCGGCACGACGGGCAGGGTTCAGCCGCCGCCGGAGCACTGCGAAGACTGTGCCTGTCGCTTTCTTTCGCCCAACTCAAGCATCTCCGTCTCCCCAACCCCAAACAGAGCTTTTTTCATTGCTTCTAAACCCTTTTTTCCTGTTAGTGCAATACTTGGCTCTGGCACCCAGCCCCTTCTCCACTCCGTTCCCTTTCCGCTGCCCTCCCCACCAATTCTGTTGCAGGTGCTTCAGCCCTCCCCTAGAAAAGGGCTGACCCCAGCAGCTCACCCCCTTTATTCTTTTTTTTTTTTTTTTTAATCCATGCATTTGGCAGATCGGATGTTTTTCCAGCAGACCTCATACTCCTGAAGCTGCCGCTTGATTTTATTGAAAGCCTTTTATCACTCCGTGCTCGATAACCTGCGCTCCGTGTTCTTACAAAAAGGGCAAAACAGGAGGAAAAGCGTTAACGCTTAGCGAGCTTGTTCTTCCAGATGCTTTCAAGACCTGTTGTGGCTCCACGTAGCTCCTCGTGGCTTTAGCTTCCCTGCAAACCCTCCCAGGAGCAGCTCTTGTGCAGTGGTGGATAGCCAAGGTGGTCTTTCTCTCTTCTCTAAACCAGGAGCAGCTGTAGGGCTCCTGGACCCGGGCAGGGCTTTACCCTGGAGTCCTCAGCAGATTTATTTGTGCTTCCCCCCCCCCCCCACCCGCCCCTAACTAGCAGGCACTTGCCTTGTGCTTTCGTCCAGGACAGATGCCAAACCTGTTTTTTCCCCCAGAACCGTGCCAAAAGGAGCAAATGTTGTTAGTGAGGCATCTGGGGCTGTGGCCCTGCGGAGGGAGGGTGGCGTGTCCTGGGTAAGCCGCAGGGACACAGACATTCGGGGGGGAACCCTCCTTTAGGGATGTATTTGCTCTCCCATCTTCTAAAATCGATGGGCTGAGTACCAACTAAAAGCACAAAAACAGTGAAATTTCACAGTGATGCTTTTACTGACCTTAATTTCCCCCTTTCTAATGGGTGAAGCTTGCTGCTTTTTGGCACTGTCCAGAAAAGTTGTTGTTTGGCTTATGCCTATTTTATGCAAAAGCTTTGTTTTCAACAAACTCTGGTTTGCTTGCAAGGAAAAGCTATTTTTAAACAAGTTGAAGAGAGCTGACTTGCCTTGAAGTCTGTGCATTTATGCTGTAAACTGGCATCACAGAGTAGAAATCTGGCTTTTTTGCAGATGAAGTATTTTAGCAGGAGTTTCCTGATTGATCCGGTGTAAAGTAAATTCTCAGTTTGATTTTTAAAGGCCTGTCATCTCATCTTCATTTCAGAAGTCTAAAACCTCCTGTGGTAGCTCCTGGAGGGATGAGATGAGAGGGGGGGAAAAAGGGTAATGGGGGTATTCTGGGACCAAAGATAATTCCTGGTAGGATGAAAGAGAAATAGGTATAAAGAGAATAAATAAAATGGGGAAAATATTTTCTTAAGCATTAACTGCATTTATACCCATGAATATTCAGGCTAGCAGAGGGAAAAGAAAGCAAACCCACCCCATTTAAAGGCATTAAATTAAATAACCCAAACAAACATATTATTGCAATTTAAAAAAAATCCCATATGGGGAAAACCCGTGAGATTACACCTCAGCTGTCATCTCTTTTGGTGTAGCTTGAGATGAACCGATGGCACGTCCCGCTCCTGGAGGAGACCCCGCTCCGTGCCGATTGCAGTTTATCCCAATTAATACAAGAGGAAAGAGGAGAGAGGACGTTCCCTTTGTGTGTTTGCAGTGTGAGCACAATTGATGGAAGTCGGCAACAACTCTGCTGAGCGCAGCTTTGCTATGCAGCAGCGTAGGCAATCGCAGGTGTCCTCTCCGTGTCACTTCATTTACCCTGTCCTTTTACTAATAGGATCTAGATAAGACCCAAGAAGAAATAAAGAAGCATCACGCCAACATCAGTGAGTTGAAGAAGAACTTTATGGAGTCCGTCCCGGAGCCTCGGCCGAGTGAATGGGACAAACGCTTGTCCACTCACTCCCCTTTCCGAACCCTCAACATCAACGGGCAGATTCCCACGGGAGCGGATGGAGTGAGTACCTCGGCGGCGTGTGGGTGTTAGTGCACTGCACAGTAGTGTGCAGCTTCCGAGGGACAGCTTTGCAACCTAGGATTGAGCCTCAGCTCCCCTTAGTTTTTGGTTATATGGAATTTTAATAGTTAATACTGACTTTTAACATGTATAATGGTCTCTGAGAGAATTGATGCTTTAGTCATAGTATCATAAAAATGTGATTTTTTTTTTTTTTTTGGTAGAAAAGAATGTAGGAATTCTTCACCTGGTTTTGATGCTACTTTTTCTAGCGTTGCTTTCATCTGTGATGCTAGAGTATACTTCACATGGCTGTTTTGGGGACTGGCTTATTCCTGCTGCCAGGGAATAGGTCTCCCCAAAACGTGGGCAAAAAACCCCAAACACCTAAATTGAAGGGAATTACTTCAGAGATAATATCGCGGGTAACCCAGTGGAGAAGCACTAGGATGGTGTCACTTTTCAAAAGTCACTTTATTCTCCAGTTAATCCAATATGTCATTGGGTTTAGTCTTGCATTAGGATCTGCAGGTGCTGATCTGCTGTGGAGGCTTCAGGAAGACTCCTCAGGTGGCTACAGCAGGGCGGTTCATACGCGATGGAAATCTTTCTCCTTACAGGAACAGTCTGTATGTTAGTAGCCATACACATTCACAGTCTCCCTGCTAATGTCCTTAAAAAGGTAATTTTTCAAAGAAACCGAGTTGGAGCAGCAGAGATCTGTCTGCCAACTAGTTTCTTCTTGGATAACAGACAGCTTCTCTGTTTAATACTGGTGTTACCTAGCTCAGATTTGAAGCTTGTGAGTAAAACTGTAGTTAGAGCCCGTGGTAATCAGTGTCTTAAATAATAAATGCGATTTTTCATTACGACTGAAAAATTGCGTCCTGGCTGCAGCGGCGGCAGTCGTAGACTCCTGGTTTAAGCCTAGCTTCTCCCCTTCCTGCCCACAGCGCTGCACATAAGCTTGCATTTCATCTTCCAACCATTGCAAGGGAGATACCTTTTAAAAAGAAATAATCTTGCAGCGGAGGGAGGGTTATCATAACAGGTACAAGGGGTTTCAACAGCCAAGTTTACTACAGGCTCCACAAAGCGTAGAGAAAAGCCATGACAATTATAGGGCTTTTTTCTCCCCACTAGAAAAACAAAACCCCCAAAATGAACTAATGAGGGTTGATCGTTATCCTTGGAATGACCTTGATTAACACATGGATGGCCTTTCCTCTTCGGTTGCTGAGTCTCAGTGTAAATTCTGCAGGAACGTGGGCAGCAGAGCGATGCAGAGCTCTGCCCACGGTGCCACATGGTTTATGGACGTGCGGGTGGGATAGAGGAGGGGCTCTCAAGCTCCACAGCTACAGTTCATGAATTATATTCTTGGTTATTATAAAGAATTTCTTGCATGGTGACTGCATGTGAGGTCGTGGGGGGCTGCTGTTCATGATAACTGGATGATGTGGGCTTTCCCCCTCTAAGGCTGCAGTGGTCCACAGCGATGCAAGGATTGGTGTCAGCCCTGGATTTGCATTTCTGGAAATTCCCTCTTAATCTGATCCTCTCTGAAATGGTCTTGCTCTGAGGTGAAGGTGGACACGTTCTGCTGTGAACTTCCAGAAATGCATCTTTGAGAGGCACCTACCGGGGAGGGTGTTTTCCTTCGCCTGCACATGTTTAAGGATGGTAAATCATGATGCAAAGCAATCCTGTTTCTCCTGTTCATGGTGGTATCTTCACCCTGCTGTAGTGTCCAAAAGGGTATTCTGCCAGGGGCTGCTTTTCTGCTGTTCCTATATGTTTTATTTCAAGACAACTGAACCTTAACACGCTTTGTGTGTCCAGGTCAAGAAAGTCACTGTCCTATCTTCTGAGAGACAGGTTGGTGGGCTTGAGGTAAAGCTGCTGTTCTGATATGTGCTTCTGAACCAGACTTTTGCTATTGCAATGGCACCAAGCAAAAACTCAACAGCAGCTGCTGGATAACATTTTTTCTTTTGGCTACATGAAGTAGTTTCATAACTCACACCGAGAGGACTTTTGCACTGCTGCAGCTTTTGCAGCTTTCAATTTTGCTTATTTTGGTGCATGGCTGGTTCGAAAAAGCTGCATGAAAGATGTAACCGTGTATTCGGAGAGAAAAGCAATTATGAAAGTTTAACTGTACCCTGTTCTTTTTATGTTGTCTTTCTTTCTGTTTTTTGTTTTGATGATCATGTTACTCCTGCATTTTATATTTTCTTTTGCTGCCCAGTCTCCCAGCTACTTTCTCCCCAATACTCATCACTTAGGGGTGTGCAAAGAACCAGTCCCAAAATACCGCACTGATCAAAGGAGGCTAGCTCAACTGAGAGAGCTTAGAGCCAAGTTTTTCCTCTCCTAGGTGCGCTTGGGTTTGACCAGGTCTGGCAAACTAAAGGGATGGAGAGTTACTGAACAGCAACATTTCCCACAATCTTTTCTTTCTTCAATGAAAGTGCTAGAGCCCTTGCATGATCCTACGTGATGATTTGCTCATTCTGGTTTTTTACATTCTTTAGACTCCAGAAACAAAAGTGCTAAAATGCGGAGCAAAATTTAAGGAGTGTGCAACACTCCTACTGCCACCCTGCCTGTTCCACACTCGGGATTTCTAAGGTGTAACAGTTTTTCACTTGTTCCAGTAGAATTTTCAAAACAATTGAAATTTTGATACTGTCGTGAGAACTTTGAAAAAGTATTTTGTATCTGCACTGCAGTTGGATGTTCAATGGTATTTACCAAACGCTATTTTTTAAGGGCACTGTAGAATAGGGAGCTGTCAGAGACCACATTTTGTACTGTGCCATTTCTATTTCTAATGCCTCAAACTTTTTTCTCAACCGTTCCGATTCCAAAACACTTCAGTAGGTTTTGAGCATACGCTTTTCTGGGAGGGCAGGCGCAAAGCACACGTGATCACGATCCAGATGTTCATGAGCTCTGCAGAGAGGACTAGACTTTGTAGCTCTAAGGCTGGTGCGACCCAAGCCACCAGTGGCTCTGCTCTCCAGGGCAGTTTATTTTTATGTTGAGAGGAAGGCTGTCCTAACGCTTTGCACACCTCCAAGTATCATTTTGGGCACTTCCCATCTGTCATTTTTGTTCATCTCTCTCTGTCTTTCTTGATCTTCTACCACGAAAGCAGACACAGGAACGTCCTCTGTTAGTACAGGATGAAGACAAACTAAAAAAGCAGGAGATACCTACTGAGACAGCCTTTCCCCGGCAAGCAAGTGAAGAAACTCTTCCAAAGGTTTCTATTCCAATTCCTGAAGAGCAGAAATCATTCAAAAAGTGTCAGCTGTACTCTAGCATTTTTCCTTCTCCACGTATTCCCTTTATGATGTCCTTTCTCCTGGTCGTAGCACTGACTGTTTGGTGGCTGCTCTTTCTTTGAGTGGCAACAGGGTCATGTTGAAACCTCAAGACCAAACCTCCTGAATTTCTTGGCCGTAGCCTCTGCTGCATCTTCCTTGTCCTGGTCTTCCCTGTCTCCGTAGTTCGCTGTCCCGGGGAGGGACACCCCGCGACCGTCGTGTTAATCCCACTGTGTGTCGTTGTGTAGCTGTGATCCAGGACCTGGCAGGAGTGGTCATGGATTGCCAGGTCCCTTCTGAAGTTTCCTAGTGTGCAAAAGCAAATTCTCTGAACCGTGCTCCTGATTGCTGTAAGAGGGCAGATGGGGAGCGTAAATACATGGGAGGAGATGTTTGCTTCTTCAGCCCCTGTAGACTTCACGTAGGAATCGCCGAAGGCTTGCTTTTAAGCTTGTTTTAAATGTAAGATGTGCACAAGCTGAAGAACATTTGATACTGATCCAAAAGAGGCTTTACAGCAATCTGCTGAATCTAATCCATAACCACTCCTTTTCTAGGAAACTAAGATGGGCATTTAAATAAAAAGTGTTGATTATCAATGCTGCTGTTAGTGTTAACTTAGAGACAGGGACGGGCAACCTTTCATTTTCCCAGTGGAGGAAGCCTTTTGCAAAGCATCACAGCTTCTCTCTCGCACCCCTATTCTTGTTTCCAAGAAAATACATCATGATATAGAAGAAAATCCATTGCAAGGAAATATTTATTGTAAACATAGATTAATCATTTTTCTGAATCTGGTGATGTTGGTGCACTTCAGATGTGGTTTGCTTTTTTTTTTTTAATTTGTGTTGAACTAACTGACGCATGTTTGCTTAGGTCACAGGAATGGAGTAACCTGCTGTTAGGTACGTCTCCTCTGTTAGCATGTTGACTTTACCACATCAGGACACACTTCTAATGTTAAAGCCATCGATTGTTTTGACTTCTCTAACAAAACCGTTGCATGCCGCTTGTCGTTTATTGCCTACAAATGTAAATGTCTGGATGATGCTGATGTTTATCCGAGTTACCCTGGTTGAGCTGCGTAGGCTCCAAGATGAGTTGCCCAGTTGGGTTGAGCAGAACTGGTTTGCGAGCTGGAGGGAAGATGGGACTTTGTGTCGAAGGGGTTTCTTTTCTGTATATAGTAATTACGGGACTGAGCTGAGCCAACCGCTTCTCCTTTCGGTAGTAATGTGCTTTCTGTTGCTTTCTCTGGAGGATTGGTGTAGACACAATTACTTCTGAGAACAGCCACCAGTGCCATCAGTGTTGGCAGCTGCTCCAGCAGCACAGAAGAGAAAGGAGTAGACCTTTATTACAGGGACTAAAATTTGTGAATATATATAAATATGTGTATTTATAACCCTTTATAGATCTGTGTCTGTGTGAACAGTGTTATTTAGGAAGCTAGCAGATAAGCTTGCAGGAAAAAGACATAAGGCAAATATGGCATGTGCTGTCTGATCTGAAGGACCGTGGGCATCACGGATTTATAGATCTGTGTCTGTGTGAACAGTGTTATTTAGGAAGCTAGCAGATAAGCTTGCAGGAAAAAGACATAAGGCAAATATGGCATGTGCTGTCTGATCTGAAGGACCGTGGTGCATCACGGACTACTTGAGCCGCCTCTCTCTTGCTCTCAGTGTACAGGTTGAGGCTCTCTAAATGCTGTCTCAGAAACTTAGGTTGCTAGTGAAACCCTTTGTTTTAATCTCGCAGGAACCTTTCTGGTTACTCTTGTAACCTGCTCCGATTAGTTCACCGGTTTGTGCCTTTAGGACTTTGTTTTGTGAGGATGCTGATTTCTCATTGGAAAGTATTCTTCCCTTTTTAATACACTGCCTTTAATACACAGTCTTCCTCTTTCAGCAGTTGGAAAAATAGAAGTCACTGGGTTGTTGTACAGGCGTACCGTGGTGCGAAGGAGAGCTGTCGGCAGCGCAGCCTGCCTGCTGCCTGCCTGCTCGGCACAGGCAGCGGACGGACGGTGCTGCTCGGTGGGCTGCGTGCCTGCGGTGCTCGGAGCACGCCTTAGGACGCACGTGAACTCTGCTGAGCTCGGCGTGAAGTTTAGGAAAACTTACCTCGAGAAGGTGGGCCCTGGAGAGGAGAGGTGGTAGAGGTGGGGGAAGGATGCGGAGGTGCCACGTGCTGTGCAGAAGATGCAGGATGGAAGAAGCCAGAGGGATGCTTCTGGCTGGGATTCCCTGCCCGAATCTCCTTCCCAAAATTGGAACAGACACGATGAAAAACAGGGACTGTTTGTTCTCCCCAACCTGGCGTGGAGAGGGAAGGGGCAGGAGTTGTTCAGATCTCTCTCTGTCTATTTTCTGTCCATATTTCCTGGAGAAGAGCAGCTTAAACACACACCTGCTTCCTTTCAAAAGCCATCGCTCGGACCAGCTGCCGTGATGCTGCTTTGAGCACTGTTGAGGTTACTGCATGCTGTCTTTCTGAACCGATGACAAGTTCTTTGAAGCCGTACCAGTGGCTTTTGCAAAGCCATGGTTTCTGTAGCTCTATCTACCATTTCCAAAGGACCTAAAGTCTAAAAATCTTTCCCCGGAGCAATGTTTGAATATAGTGCTCGGGGTATCTTATCCCAGAGTGATGAGAGATGCACTCCCTTGGTCACTTAAACTCAATTCTTTAACTTCTTAATTAAAATGGTCTCTCTCTCACTTTTTTTAATCTTGAGATAAGGCTGGTTATCATCAGCAGAAAAACTTTGAAACTTTACATTCTGAGAATGCTCAGGAACATTTTTGGGATTTATATAACAATTATCACTGCAGAGTGTAAAGGAACTGAACAAATGCTTTATATTTCTATGGCAGTTTAGAGGCCAGTTATCTATATTCATCCGGGTGGATATGATCTCTTCTGACAGAGAAAGCCCGTAGCTCATCAGGAACAGAAACCTCATCCGTTCGACGCCGCAGTGATGTGCCCACTGTGCTCCAGCCCCTTTGCCGGTCACCCCTCTGCTTTTTTTCCCGTTTGCTTGTAAGGCAAAGGGAGTTACAGCCGTGCCCCGTGGCAATCCACGTTCCTGCACATTGTATATCCCGTTCCTGCACATTATGTATCTCGTACGCGTCGGTGCTGTGCTGGTTGATTCCTGGTTTCACCCTTTTCCCTTGACGTCTGCGCAGGATGCGGCGCTGAAAGAAGGGATTTTCGGGATGCCTGCTGCCGTGCCCGTGCACAGGGAGAGTTGATTCGCTCTAGCTTTGTTTAAGGGCAGAGGTCTCAGGGTTTTCGTAAAGGAACCAACGCGTGTACTTTGCTCCCTTTTTTCCTCAGGAACAAACTTGCCGCAAAGCACTGGCAGCTCCCCGGCCGCCTGTCCCGACACCGTCACTGACCCCGAGCAGCGGTGGGATTAACGCACCCTGTTCGTGCGTGGCCGGTGCAATGCCAGGCTGTGAGTGATGGAGAACTGAGTTATCCCTTCCAAAGGGAAGCTGGAAATGTCCGCAGCACGTAATCTCATCCAGGTTGGCGTGAGAAATT